GCGAGCGATGTGATTGGCTATTACTCTGGCAACCATCGTTTTGACTCGTGATTTGTATGCCGTGCACACACCTCGCTCGAATTCGCCTAACAAGTAGTATCGGCCTCAGCACCACAGCCATGCCACGTCACGACCAGATTGCATCAAACTCCAAGGGAAGGTACCAAAACTTCTTCGTAAACTCAAGCGACAGAGATTAGACATAGTACATGAGGCGGCCGAGGTTGCGGTGCACGTCCATGATGCGACCCGTCGACTCGACAAAGGTACCGTCGATCGTCGAGCCGCCGTCGCTGCTCTCTTGCAGAAAGAGGCGCGTGCGGTCGCCGACGAGCTTGGCGTAGTAGACAGCGGGTACGATCGAGACGGACCGCGTGCAGCGGGCAAACGTATAGCACAGCTGGTACGTGAGGTTCTGGAGCTCGTCCGGCGAAAATTGAATCTCGTCCAAGAGCACGTGGTAGTGGGCCGGGCGGCTCGTGCCTTGGAGGCCCGCGTGGCTCATGAGATAGAAGTCGTACTCGGTCGGGTGGCACACGCCCGTGTCGACGACTGTGCCGGCCTTCACGTTGCCGCTGCGGTCGGCGTCGGCCTGCGACGTCGGGAAGAACCGCGTGTGGTGGCGCTTTTGGACGACGACAAACGTCACCTGCGGGTTGTAGCCCTCCTCGAGCTTGGCCGTCGCGCGGCGAATGGCGGCAATCTCGTGCGTCAAGACGTGCTGGAACTGGCCTTCGCTGACGCCGTCGCGGTAGACAAGGATGCGCAAAGGCTTGAGGCGCGTCTCGGCGTAAAACTGCCGGAGGAGCTCGTTGACCATGCCTTCAAGGTCCTCGATGATGTCGACGCGATGGCCTTGCTTGCGCACCGAGGCCGCGTGGTAGCACGCGTACGCATCCATGGTCGCCACGACCGACGCGATCGACGGGCGGCTCTTGTCGCCCGGGCCCGGGTGGCTCACGTCGCAGCCCAAGATGATCGTGGGCACTTCGGCCACCTTGGGGAGCGGCTCCGAGCAGACCGCGTTGCGCCCGCCGAGCTTGACGTTGACCTTCATCAAGAGGTTGGCCATGTACTGCGGCTTCTTTTGCTGCGCGTGCTTGAGAAGGAGGCACTGCGACGGAATGCCAAACGTCACGTCCGACGCGCGCTTGAGGTCGCCATAGTTCATGACCGACGTATCTGGGTGCACGCTAAAGACGACTTGGGCCGGGAGACCATAGACCTGCGTGGCCGCGTCGATCGCGCGGCCAAAGAGGCTTTCGACCGACTCGCCGCGGCGCAAGAGGACCGGCGGCGGCTTGGACGGCCCGCGCATGTTGAGCATCCCGAGCTGGCTCACGAGGGCGCCGAAGAAATCGTCAATCGACCGCGAGTCGCGCTCGTGGCAGAGCGAGAGGACGGCAAACGACTCGATGGCCATGCCTTCAAAGAAGCCCTTGTTGCGCATGTTCCAGGCGCCGGCCGCCGGCACCTCGATCGCGTCGCGGGCGTAGCGCAGCTTGGGGTCGGGCAGCACGCGGGCTTCGATCGCGAGCATCTTGGGGTTCAAGGTCGCCCCAAACGCAGCAAGGCACGTGTCGGCTTCAAAGTGGGCTTCCTTGACCTTCTCCTCAATCTTGCGCCGGCGCTCCTCGGGGTGGGTGCACGTGTACCGGATCATCGACGCGACTTGCGTGTCCGAGACCTTGCGGGGCATGCGCTGGTTCTCGGCAATGTGGCACACTTCGATCGGCAAAAAGTTGGAGCTCGTCTTGGAGCCGACCTGGAAGCACGGCAGGTGCGGAAACTGCAGCGGCTTGTACGTCTTTGCAAAGTACTCGGCGATCGACACGTCCTTGCCCTCGGCGTCCTTGAAGAAGCGATGCGCCGCCGACTCTTTCGAGATGGCCACAATCTTGAACGCGCGCTTGATGTTGGGGCGGTGCAAGACGCGCACCTTGACGCCCTTGAAGGCCTTGGCGACCGCGTGGTGCTGCTGCGGACTGAGCTGGTTCGGGACGCCGCGGAGACCGCACGCTTCGCTCATGTAATCGAGCGCCGGGACCGCCTCGAGGAACGCGGACGCCGCCATGTCAATGTTGAGCGTCAACTTGGTCTGCGTCGGGCGCAGCGACTGGTGGTAGCCAAACCACACTTCGGCGCCTTCACCGAGACGAGCCGACTTGTCCGGGGAGAAAAAGTTGCGCCCGACCGCCGTAAAGCGCGAGGTCGCCGAGTAGCGCAGCGCAATGTCGAGCGCTTGGATGGCCTCGTACGGCGTGTAGTTGAGCTGGCCCGAGAAGAAGTCCCACACCTGCTCCATGCGCACGCTGCACGGGTCGGCTTCCTTGACGTACACGTCAAACACCTTGGGGCGCGCGTCGTTCGTGAGCACGCACTTGAAGAGATGCAACTCAAACGGCAACTTGGACGGCGTGTACAAGTTGCGCCGGCCATCATGCACGACCACGTACTGCGGAAACTCGGCCTTGATCACGTCGGTGAGCACGGCAAGCACCTTGAGGCAGAGGTCTTTGGGCGGCGGCTCGTTCTGGGGTGGCTTGCCCTCCGGTGCAATGCCAATGTCGTAGTGGAAGACGTCGCCTTGCGGCTTCAAGTCGACTTGGAAGTGGTTGGCCCACACGACAATGCGCTTGCCCGCCGTACCAAACGACGGGCGGCATGGGTACAGCGTGTTGACTTGCGGCGGGAAGAGCTCCGACTTGACGGGCTCCGGCGGCGGCCCTGATGGAATCGAAAAGTTGCCGCCGCGACCGCGACCGCCACGACCACCTTGAAAGGCACCGCGACCACCTCGGCCGCCACCACCGTCACGTCCACCGTTGAAGCCGCCGCCACCACCACCGCCGTAGCCACCGCCCCGGTCGCCGCCCCGGTCACCGCCACGGTCGCCGCCTCCGTAGCCGCCACGGTCATTGTGGCCGCGGTCGCCGCCATAGCGGCTGCCACCGCCGTTGTTGCGTGGTGAGCGCGGAGGACCGCGTGCTGGCGAGCGCGAGCGTGACCGCCGGGCCGAGCGTTCGCGGGATCGAGATCGATGCATGCCAGTTGGGCAATCGAGAAATGCACTGCGCGTTGCGAGACGGCCGCAAACAGCTGAAAACCGTTGGTGTATCTTTTGTACTTTGTTTTTGTATGGAGAAGCCGGGCGACACGGGCCATACAAACTTCAAGGTAGTTGATCGCGCTGCAAGGTGCTGCAAGCGGGCGCTGTGGCGTGCTCGGCTATGGGGTGGTGCGTGTGGTTCTTCGAGCCATGGACGTAGATCGTTATGACGGCTAGTCGAGTTGTTGTACACAAGTATAGTGTGGTACTAACGTTATTAGTGTAATTGTCCTTGGCGATGTGGAGACATTGATGCCATTGAAAAAGCACGCAGGTCCGCCAACGACAACTCAGCACATTGGGCTCAAGATGCCAACTCAATGCTACAACGAAATCAAGCTCGAATGACGCCGCCGCAAGAGGGTACCGGAAGTCTCTTGGCAAGACGGAGAGCATCGTGAGCTGTCCAGCGAGACGCGGTCCTCGGTGGCGATTGCAAGCTACGTGTCAAGACGGTTTAGCGTCAAAACCAAGCGACGAGTCTGTCTTTGACCCCGCGTCCTTGCGTGTCAACGCCAAGCGCACTCGCCAAGACTGCGAAAGTACTAACGGTGACTAGAAGTTCTACTAATGGTCCATAGGTCTTAAGTATTAACAACGAGTCGAGCAGCAACCGTCGACGCGAGCGCATTCAACATGGAAGCTACGAAAAGCTCTTTCATATACCAGCACACTGGTGGAGGTCCTCGAGTGGAGTCGGGTACCATTGTGCTGCGTACGTTGCATCCACAATGCGAGAGATTGCAACGGTCTTGTATGTTCATTGTACAATTTGGCACTGGCAACAGCGTTGCAGTTGAAGTACAAAACCTCTAACAATCAATTTCACTAAAACCTTTGACATTCGATAGGCGGATGGCCAATCGCACCATTTTGCAGCGCGACGACGATGGCGTTCCAAGCCCCGCGCCTGCTCTCGCGTCTCCGCGCGTCCGTGCGCCAGCTCTCGACGAGCCCGTTCGCGCTCGGCGTCGGCGATCTAGTCCCTGGCATCTCCGCGAGCGAGTTCCAGGCCCGGCGCCAGCGCGCCTTTGAGCTCATGCCCCGCGACTCGATCCTCATCGTACGTTGTCGTGCCCATCGTCGTCGTCTCCACAACCTCATGGCTAGCTCAATGCCGCCGAGGAAAAGTACATGGCGCATGATATCCCGTACGACTTTCGCCAGGACTCGCACTTTCTCTACTTGACGGGCCTCGAGGAGCCCGAGGCGATCGCGGTCCTCAAGAAGGACGCGGCCGACGCCACGAGCTTTGTCATGTTTGTGCGCCCGCGCGACGCCCACAGGTACTAGCTCGTGCGCGTAGGAAGGACGCTCATCGCTCATGCGAATAGCGAGCAGTGGGACGGACCTCGCGTCGACGTGCCGTCGGCCAAGGCGTCGTACGGTGCGGACGACGCGTTCACTCTCGACCAGTTTGAGGCCAAGCTGCCGACGCTTGTGTCGCCCGCGACCCAGATCTGCATCACGCGCGCGGTCCAGAACAAGTACCCCTCGCGCTTCTTGAACGCGACGCGGCCGCTGCAAGCGACGCACAGCATCCAGATGGCCGACAGCCTCATCGACATGCTGCGCGTCTTCAAGTCACCGACCGAAGTCACCAAGATGCGCCATGCGTGCAACATTGGCGCTGGTGCTTTCGCCAACCTCATGGCGCAGTCGGCACCGGGGCAGCTCGAGATCGGCCTCGCGGGCACGTTCGAAGGCTACTGCCGGCGTCAAGGCTCGCTGCGCAATGCGTTTCCGTGCGTCGTCGGCGCGGGCAGCAATGGCGCGGTGATCCACTACCTCGCCAAACGGGGCATTCTCAAGCCCGACGAGCTCGTGCTCATGGACTCGGGCTGCGAAGTCACGGGCAACTACGTCAGCGACATCACGCGCACGTGGCCAACGACCGGTCGCTTCACGCCGCCGCAGCTGGACTTGTATTCGCTCATCCTCGACGTCCAGCTGCAGTGCTTGGAGCGTCTTCGACTGAAGATGGAGCAGAAGGAATCGTTGTCGCTCGACGAGCTCCACCTCTTCTCGGTCGGACTGCTCGTGGACGGCATGCAGGAGTTTGGTATTCTGCCGCGGCACTTGGCGAAAGGCTCGGCGGCCCTCGACATGGCCTTCCGCAAGTACAACCCGACGCACTTGGGCCACTACTTGGGCATGGACGTGCACGATACGCCCACGTACGCGCGGTCGCACCCGCTCCAGCCCGGCATGATCATCACAATTGAGCCGGGTATCTACCTCCCGCAGAACGACGAGAGCATTCCGTCGGCGTACCGCGGCATTGGCATCCGCATCGAAGACGACGTCTTGGTAGACACAGCAAGCATGCGCGTCTCTTATTCTCTCACGTCCACCTCGTAGATTACCGAGTCCGGCATCGAAGTCCTGACCTCGTCGATCCCCAAGACCGTCTCGGACCTCGCGTCGTTCATTGGGAGCCAGCCCGGGGCCATCTAGTCTTCTAGTATACTACAGCCCTCGACACGACATGGAGTAGTCGATAGAGTATTGGGCTAGTATATGCGTCCACCATGCTGTCTTGCCCTCCGCGCCATCGACCGAGAGCAAGCAAAGCCTCTCCACGGTGTCGCTGACCACAGGCGCATCGTCGTGATTCGGTCTGCTACCAAAGTACAGTGCACCACTCTCTGTGGGTGGTACCCAAGTGCTGCCAGAGTTCATAAAGCCACAAAGTCTCGTCGCCTACATCCCGACCTATTCACATCACAGCGTTGATACTAGCATACGCAGCGCGTCGCTGGCGCGGCCATGCAGCCGGCTTCCTGGCCATGCAGCGCGCCACGTTGAAGTCGCACGTGACCTGACCAGCACGTGTCACGATCGTAGTTGACCCGCACTTAGGGCGTCTCGTGTAGTTAGTATGGAGGCGCACTTGCTGGAACTTCAACGTTGTTGAGCAAACAAGGCGGTCGTTTTCTAAACAGAGATCTCCTCGAGCCACACATTGCAATCGTCGTCCTCAGTCGCACCCGAGATGCAACGCGTATTCGCCCGCAACTTTAGCACGGTCCGCCGCGCCGTCGTCGTCGATGGCGTCCGCCTTCCGTTCCACAAGACGAGCACGGTCTACGAGGACATGATGGCGTACGACCTCATGCGCGAGTCGATCAAGGGCCTCCTCAACAAGACGGCGCTCAACCCGGCCGACGTCGACTATGTCATTTGCGGCACGGTCATCCAGGAAGTGCGCACGAGCAACATTGCGCGTGAGGCCGCGCTCGGCGCCGGCATCCCCAAGCACATTCCCGCGCACACGGTCACGCAGGCGTGCATCTCGTCGAGCCAGGCTATCTCGCAGGCCGCCGACAAGATTGTCGCCGGCGGCATGGACATTATCGTTGCCGGTGGTGTCGAGACGTTCTCGGATGTCCCGATCCGCTTTGCCCGCCCGTTGCGCAAGCGCATGATTGGCGCGGCCAAGGCCATGAAAGGCGGCCCGGCTGGCATCCTCAAGCTCCTCAAGGGCTTGAAGGCCGCCGACTTTTCGCCCGAGGCGCCTGCCATCAAGAACTTCCACACGAACGAGGTCATGGGTAACTCGAGCGACCGCCTCGCCGCGCGCTTTGGTGTCACCCGCAAGGAGATGGACGAGCTCAGCATCCAGAGCCACCTGAACGCTGCCAAGGCCCACGCCGAAGGCAAGTACGATGGCGAGATCATCCCGTTCAAGGGCTCGACGGCCGAGAACGGCATCAACCCCAACACGTCGATCGAGAAGCTCACGTCGCTCAAGCCCGCCTTTGTCAAGCCCCACGGCACGCACACGGCCGGTAACTCGTCGTTCTTGACGGACGGCTCGGCCGCGACGCTCATCATGTCGGAGACCAAGGCCCTCGAGCTCGGCTACACGCCCAAGTCGATCATCCTTGACTCGACCTTTGTCGGCGTCGACCCGTTCGACTCGCTTCTGCTTGGCCCGGCCTACGGCATCGCCAAGGTCTTGAAGAAGCACAACTTGACGCTCTCGGACATTGACCACTTTGAGATCCACGAAGCGTTTGCCGGCCAGGTCCTTGCCAACTTGAACGCGCTCGCTGATGAGGAGTTCTGCAAGACCGAGTTTGACTGGCCGACCGCGGTCGGCAAGGTCGACAAGTCGAAGCTCAACACGTGGGGCGGCTCGCTCGCGCTCGGCCACCCGTTCGGTGCCACGGGCTCGCGTCTCGTCAACACGGCCTCGAACAAGCTCGTCAAGGAAGGCGGCAAGTACGCGATCCTTGCGGCGTGCGCCGACTCGGGCCTCGCTTACGTCGGTCTCCTCCAGGCCTACGATGGCAAGAAGTAAAAGTGAATCCAATAAAGAAGAGTCTAATTGAATGTGAGTTCACCACGTGCTGCTGCGACGGGGCGCTGCCACGTCATTAATAATGCTCACCACCTTGCACCAGCACGCAAAGGCTGGTGCCATCCGGCGTGAACGACTCGGAGGTGCGTGGTCGCCAGCAAAACGTCCGACGTCTTCGTAAAGAGACAAGCGGACGCCCAAGCCAGCCTCCCGGTCACCACACTGTACATCAGAGGATGGCCGCGCTGGCAAAGGTGTTGGAAACCAAGGGCAAGGGTCATTTCTTATTGACCCTTGTAGTAACCTTATCATGGACGCCGTTGGCCCGCGGCCAACTTGCTACACAGAGCTTTGCGAGAGTCGCGACGAGGTGGAGTGAGCTTATCGTATGTCTACGGTGCAGTGATCAAGCAGCTGCCAACGCCCGAGGTAGCGAAGGGTGCCAGATTGCCTCGTCCAGGTCAACGACAACTGACAAGATCGAGGTTGTGGACTATATATACTGTATTCAATCATTAATATCATCATTTATACCAACAAGACAGCGTTAATGCAGCCGTCGTTCTCCGGGTTGTTGGTGACTTGGGCGTACTTGCCCCAGACGACCTTGCCCGACGTTGTGACGAGGCCGAGCTCGCTCACGTTTACTTCGATGATCGTACCCTTGGTCATCACGCCAAGCTGCGTGTACAGCGGCGAGTTGGGGTTCTTCTTGACGCCAAGAATGTCGAGCTGGAACGTCGTCTTGAGCTCCGGGTGCGTGACGTGGGCCTTCTTGAAGCGCATGGCGGCGGGGCGGATGAAGCGCTCGTATTTCGGCGGCTTGCGCGTAAAGTTTTCGCCGACGAACGTCGCCTTGGTGATCATACGCTTCCACGCCTTGTTGCGGCGCTTGCCCGAGCGCAGCACCTTGAACATCTCGTCATCGGCAATCGGCTTGACCTTGGGGATCGGCACGTCCCACTTGCCGGCCTTTTCCTTTCGCTTCTGCTTGACCGTGTTGGAGAGCACCTTGGCGCGCGAGACACCTTCGCGATCGAGAAGGTACGCGGGCACGGCGCCGTCCGGGATGTTGTCGTCGTTCGCGTGCTTGTTGGTGCGCTCGTTGTGCATCGCGATCGTCTTCTTCATGGCCGCCTTTTCCTTGAAGCGCTTCTGGTTGTAGAGCTTGGCGCGAAGACCGTGGACCTTCTGCGCAAACTGCGAGCGGCGATGCACCTCGCGGGCCTCGCGCTTGCGCGTGCGCTCGACCATGTCCATGCGCACGCCATGGCGCTTCTTGTGCATCTCCATGTGCTCATGCTGCGGCATCTTGCTCCTCTTCTTTCCTCAGCGCCGACGCGGAATCCGAAAATGAACACCCGAGAGTAGCGAATGAATGGCCAAGCCTCCGCGCACCAATAAAAGTGAGTCATACACTATTTACTTTTGACACGCTTTGGCCCCTATAGTGTGCGTCCAATGCCAACTGTACTTGCAAAATGTAGATTGGCAAAAGCGTATGGTAGCAAATAGTGTGAAACAGACGACGTCCCTGCAGAGAGCGCAGCGCAGCGCTCACCGACCGCATTGGCACCAACAACGAATATGACGGCACGTAGAGCACGTCGCTCGCGGAAGGCTATGGAAGTCACAGTGGAGACGTTGGAGTATATCGCCAATGCTGTATAACCGTAACCGATAACTTCCAGTTCAGCGAAAGGTTGGATCTTGTCGCCAGCCCAACGTGAGCTCTCTCACGCCCCTAATTCGTTCCTTACGTACTGCCAAGGGTGCTCGTATAGCGCCTATGTACGCAGTGCTATACCATACTGCGTGTACGTAGAACGAGGCTGTTTATGCGCTGTGTACGTATGCACGGTTGGTCGCACGCGGCGCGCCATATCTTGGATCCAATTCAATGCAAAAGCAATTGAGTTTTTGGACGGTGCTTTGTGCCACCTGTTTGACACAACTTTGCTGGGTTTGGGAATGGGGCCGTTGGCCGGTTCGCTCAATTCGGGTGCTCAATTGAGACTCAATCGTATCCGGCGACTTGTTTATCGAAACGTAGTCGTAAACGAGCCAAAGCGGTTGAAGAAGCATCGTCGCTTCCGTGACCTTCATATCCAAATCTCGCACCCATGGCGCTCATGACGCTCGCCGAAGCCAAGGACAACGCCGTGTCCATCTTCTGGCTCAGCAGCCTCCTCTTCCTCTCGCGCGCGGCCTACGGTGCGACCAAGGCCTTTCTCTTAGGAGCTCACTTCTGTGTTGCAGACTCGAGCTACATGCGCGTGTGGGCTGCCACGTACGGCGACGGCGTCGTCAACGTCATCTTGGGCTCCGCAGCGTTCGTTGCCTTTTGGCTCTTCTCGGCCATCATGATGGTCATTGACGCGACGCAGCCCGGTACGATCTATCCAGCTCACGGGTGACTAAGATCTGGGATGTGTGCATAGCTTGGGCGCAGCACTACAAGATTCAGCCCGTACGAAGGACGAACAGCGCGGACATCGCTCACGTTTTGCGCTAGGACAAGCACGTGACGGGCGAGCAGACGTGGAAGGGCTTCAAGATTGCTGTGCGCAACCAGTTCCTCGTCTCGCTGCCCATGTCGTACGTGTGGTTCAACTACGTGCTGCCGGCGCGCGGAGTCTCGCCGAGCGACCCGATCCCGCCTCTGTACGCGTTGCATGCTTGCGGTATGTTTGTGCTTACATTTGTGTGTGTTGCAGGTCGACGGTCGTCCGTGACTTGCTGGTGTTTCTCGTGGTCGAGGAGATTATGTTCTACTACTCGCACCGCCTCTTGCACACCAAGCCGTTCTACGCCAAGTTTCACAAGCTGCACCACGAGTTTACGGCGCCGATCGGTGTCGTCTCGATCTACTGCACGATTCTCGAGATGGTCGTGGCCAACATCTTGCCGCTCATGACGGGTACGAGCTATTTCGTTGCATGACCACGACAGCTGACTCTTGGCCCTTGGCGCTAGGGCCAACGATCATGGGCAGCCACATTACGACCATTGCGCCGTGGTTTACATTTGCCGTGATCAATACGATCAACACGCACTGCGGCTATGACTTTCCAGGTCTCAACTCGCCCCTCCAGCACGACTGGCACCACGAGATCTTCAACGAGTGCTTTGGGTCGGACGAATCAAGCCTGGCTGGCGCTCATGTATCTACTAGGGTCCTCGGTGTGCTCGACACGCTCCATAAGACCAACACCCGCTTCCTTGGCAAGCTGAACCTCGCCGCGTCCAAGGCGAAGAAGGCGTAATCTCAGAAATATCCGCATAAGGCTTACCCGGAAGCACCGAATGAGTACTGCATATCTCGTCGTGGCGAGGGACTAGCGTGTTGCTTTGCAGAGGTTTTCGCGTTGGTTTTGCTTGTGCCCATGTCGCCGGGCCATTGAGAAGCGATGAATGCCTTGGTGCCAAATGTGTGCGTGAACCTGTCTGTCGAGGACACCCATGGAAGGGGATCGGCACGGTAGTGCCACCCATAAAGACACGGAAAGAGCTGCATGATGCGGAGGTCCACACTCACGCTACCCAGGCGCTTGGTCAGCACAAGCATGTTCATTGCCTCGTCTGCCACTGTGTCACGACCATTCATCTTGGTTGCGACCATCTATTATTTTATTGTGAACGATCGAACGACAATGTTGCAGTTCATGGATGGCGGACCCGGCATGACCTCGTGGCAAGCTCTGAGGCGACTGAGAGGTAGCAACCGATAATACCTCTCAAAACCTATATCGGCGTAGAATGCATATGGATCTTCCAGCCATTTACTCATTTTGGACCCCTGAAATTCTATATGTATGAAAGATCGATTCGATGGAAGCAGTATACTTAAATCAAGGTTATTTCGCTGGTGCCTTTTTTGAGGCCACCCCCTTTTCGGCAACGCCCTTATTTAAGGGCATATCTGGCTGCGTCTGGGAGCCTCAGAGTTATTAGCCTCACGAAAGCGCAGCGAGAAGATGTCCCGGAGATACGATGGCCGCACGACGACCTTCTCGCCCGAAGGCCGTCTCTTCCAGGTCGAGTACGCCATGGAGGCGATCAACAACGCGGGCTCTGCGGTCGGTATCCTCGCCAAGGATGGCATCGTGATCGCGGGTACGTCCGTTATGGCCATGCGGATCGCGGACCTCATGGCTCCATGTAGCGGAGAAGAAGACCGTCTCGGCCTTGCTGGCGCCCGTCAAGAGCAGTGAGAAGACGATGAAGCTCGACGACCACATCATCTGCGCTGTGGCGGGTGCGTTTTGCGCGCCCAAATCCGATGGTAAGCTCATCGAACCTGTCTAGGCTTGACCTCGGATGCCAACATCCTCGTCAACTACGCCCGTGTGTCGGCCCAGCGCTACGAGCTTTCGTACCAGGAGAAGCAGCCGTGCGAGCAGTTGGTTCAGACCATTTGCAACTACAAGCAGGCGTACACGCAGTTTGGTGGCCAGCGCCCCTTTGGCGTGTCCTTCCTCTATGCTGGCTGGGACCGCCACTTTGGCTTCCAATTGTATCACAGTGACCCGAGCGGCAACTATGGCGGCTGGAAGGCGACGGCGATTGGTGCCAACAACCGCGCCGCCAAGAGCATGTTGAAGAACGACTACAAGGAAGACATGACGATCGAAGAGGCGCTCAAGTTCTCGGTCAAGGTCATGGGCAAGACCATGGACACGACGACGCCGACGGCTGAGAAGCTCGAGTTCTCGACGCTGACGCGGTCGGCCAACGGCAAGCTCGTCCACCGCCTCTTGTCGGCCGCGGAAACGGAGCAGCTGCTCAAGGAAGCGGACCTCCAGGCAGCGGAGTCGGGCGACATGTAAGCACACCGTGTGCAGTGCTGCATAGCGCCGCGGCTTCTAGCGCAGCACTTTACATTTGATGAGCTCCTTGATAATACATTCGATTCCGTCCACGAGATATCTAACGTTCAAGTTACGATGACTAGGGTGCGCTGGTGAAGGGCAGGTTGATCTTGGCGCCCTGCGCGTCGACCTGCTTTTGGATGTTGGCGCTGCTGCACTTGGAAAAGTCAAAGCCGCATATCCACGACGACACGAGCCACATGAGGATCGCGACGAGGAAGACAAGCGTGAGCGTCGCCTTGAGATTCTTGAGCCAAAAGAGTCGATGCAGCGCTTTGATCTCGCCCTCGTACGCCAGCGTGTCTTGCTGGAGCTTCTCCGTCTTGCTCACGAGAACCTCGAGCTTATCGCCGCGCGCCATGATCTATTGCCGCTCGTGCCCTGCCTCCTCGATTTAGTTAGTGCATTGTACCTGGTGCAAGTTATCGAGCATTTGGTTCTTGACGTGCTTGACTTGATCGCGCACCTAACGTCAATGCCATCGTCCTCTTCCCGCGTATGGGATTGCAGGGATTGAGCTGTGTACCTGCGTGAGCTTGGTATCGATCTTGACGTTGTCGTACTTGGTCATGAGGCCCTTGAGGTGCGTCTCAAAGCCCTTCATCGCATACGCATTGGCGGTCTTGCCCTTGTTGCCATAGTTGGATAAGAACTCGTGCTTGATCTCCGTCAAGAGCGCGTACGCGACGCTGCTCTGGAAGCGCTCGTCGCACATGCAGACGTAAATGAGGCTGTCGCTGAGGTAGTAGTAAAAGACGTGGCCGTCGACGGCCACCGAGTTGCGCGTCTCGGGCGGGTACTTGTGGTCGTCGACGTCCCGCAGGATCGCCCGCGAGTACGTGATAAAGTTGCCCGTCCCTTCGGTGCACTCGGCCAAGACGTTCTGGGCGCGCGCCACGAGCGCATAGATCACCGGCATGATCGCGGCCTTTCCCAGAAGCGATCTTTCACCTGGGTTCGCTGGCGCGCATCCGGATCCGGATAAACACCGGTCTGATGCGGCTGTGAGCAAGACCGGAGAAGACCGGACCGTGTCGCGTGCCGATGCACGCCGAAGGCCCACGCTTTGTGGGCCGCCTTGGGACGGCCCGCGTCAACTTCTGCGCTTCGCCAACGGGCATCCCAGGGCCACCTGATGTCTTAGTCGCTGATTCTTATTCCGTTTGCTCGTCCGATAGCTGCCAACTGCAATCTATATGGCGCTGGCGTTGGCATCATTCAGCCATGGCCGCGTGGCAAGCACCTGGACGCGCTCTTGGATCGAGAGAAAGCTCCGATGCGATTTTAAAACACGGAACGACCTCTCGCGCGGCCAGAGGTCGCTACGGGGCGAAAGGCCACTTCTCCGACGCTATATTAAGCATATGGGGACGACGGCGCGCTTCGGACAGGCGGTTCAAACCGCGGTCCCGGTTCGGTTGATGCAAAGAGGAAGCTGTCAGTTTTTTGTGTTGGTCGACAGTGTGCTGTGATTGGGTGCTTTGGAAGAGTTTTAGCCAATGGGAGGCCGGCACTTTCCCCACCACTGATGAAGTCATATTCGGGGCCCCGCACTTTTCTTTGAGGTGCAGTCAGAGTCAACCATCCGAAAGATGCTGTCCAAGAGCGTTCAACGCCTTTCGCGCGGCTTCTCGTCCAAGTCGTTCCCGGCCTACGTGCTCAACGCCCCGGCGACCGAGGTGACGACGCTCGCCAACGGCCTCCGCGTCGCCTCCGAGGGCGGCCACGGCGAGACGGCCACGGTCGGCGTCTGGATCGGCGCCGGCTCGCGCTACGAGACGGAGGCCAACAACGGTGCGGCCCACTTCTTGGAGCACATGGCCTTCAAGGGCACGGCCAAGCGCACGCAGCAGCAGCTCGAGATGGAAATCGAAAACATGGGCGGCCACCTCAACGCGTACACGAGCCGCGAGCAGACGGTGTACTACGCCAAGGTGTTCAAGAAGGACGTGCCGCAGGCGCTCGACATCTTGAGCGACATTCTGCAGAACTCGAAGCTCGACGAAGCCGCCATTGAGCGCGAGCGCGACGTCATCTTGCGCGAGATGGAAGAAGTCAACAAGCAGCAGGAAGAAGTCATCTTTGACCGCCTCCACGAGACGGCCTTTATGGGCAACGGCCTCGGCCGCACGATCCTCGGCTCGGAAGAGAACGTCCGCAGCTTGAGCAAGGGCGACTTGCAGGATTACATTGCCACGCACTACACGGCGCCCCGCATGGTCGTCGCCGGTGCCGGCGCCGTCGACCACTCGCAGCTCGTCGACCTCGCCCAGAACTGCTTTGGCAACCTCCCGACGGAGCCCCGCGTCGCCCCGACGTTGGAGACGCCCCGCTTTGTCGGCTCGGACATCCGCATTCGCGTACGACATTCTTTTTCGATCGCGATGGAAAGTCTCATCATGATATGTAGGACGATGACATGCCGTTGGCCCACGTCGCCATCGGTTTCGAGGGCTACGGCTGGACCTCGGAACACTCGTTCCCGCTCCTCGTCATGCAGACGTTGCTTGGCAGCTGGGACCGCACCTCGAGCGCCGGCATGAACATGTCGTCGAAGCTGGGCCAGGTTGTGGCCGAGCAGGAGCTCGCGCACTCGTTCATGTCGTTCAACACGTGCTACCAGGACACGGGTCTCTTTGGTGTGTACGCTGTCGGCGACAAGTACAAGCTCAACGACTTGACGTGGTACATCATGGAAGCCATGGTCCGCCTCGTGCACAAGACGTCGGACGAAGAGGTCGAGCGCGCCAAGACGCAGCTCAAGGCGTCGATCTTGATGCAGCTCGATGGCTCGTCGCCGGTCTGCGAGGACATTGGTCGCCAGTTCTTGGTCTACGGCCGCCGCTTGACGCCCGCCGAGATCTTTGCGCGCATCGACGCTGTCGACGCCGCCGCCGTCCGCGCCACGGCCGACCAGGTCGTCAACGACAAGGAGCACGCCCTTGCCGCCGTCGGTCCCATCCACGAGTTGCCCGACTACAACTTCATCCGCCGCCGCTCGTACTGGTTGTCGCGTTAAATAGAGAACTCTAGACTCAATCGAAAGCGACGTTTGTTGTACATGTCACCTCAACGCGACTCGAGTCTTTATTTCACATATCTCATAGTACGAGCCAGCGTGGCCGAGTCCACGAGCTCACGCCACTGCGGCGGTTGAAGTAGTAGGGCGCGCCCGAGTCGGCGTCGACGCACGCCTCGTACACGTCGTGGGCGGCGGCGGCCGCGGCTGCTCGAGCCACGTGGCAGCGGTACATCCCCTGGATACGCATGGCGGCTACGTCGTGGCGCCGGGGCGTGGGCAGTGTACGCAGAGCGTCCATGTGGCCGCTGCCGATCGGGCCCAGTTCGGAGGCGCCGAGGCCTCTCGGCTTTGTCCATTGACTCTGGCCCGTCATCGTGTTGTAGTAATAGTAAGTTTGCGAGTCGGCGTCGAGGTGCCGCTGGTATGTAGCGGCAATCATGGTGCGGAGGCGGGTCCGCGCCACGCGCGTGCGGTACATGCTCTGGAGCTTGGTCGCTGCTGCGTCGCGCCGGCGCGGTGTCGGGAGACGGGCCAAAGCTGCCTTGACGTCGTTGACCAGTAGCCGAGGTTTCGACCACGAGCTCAGCCCCGACTTTTCGTTGTAGTAAAAGTACTGGCGCGAGTCGGTGTCGTAGCACTTGCGAATCGCTTTCGCAAGCAGCTGCCGAAGGCCATCACGGGCGCGCTTGGTGCGGTACCGCGCTTGGATGGTCGTGGCGGCAACAACCCTTCGACGGGGCGTGTCGAGTCCCTCGTACCTTGCTTTCGTTGTCGTCGGTCGAGGACTTGCACCCCGACGTGTTGTCGGCAAGTCAGTGGCGCCAAGCCCCAATGGCTTGGTCCACTGACTGACGCCCGTGGCCCGATTAAAGTAAAAGCACCGCTGGGTCTCGTCGTCGACGCACTTGATGTAGATGGCAGCCGTACGTGCCATGCGTTGCGCCTTGGCGGCGCACACGCGGACAAAGCACTGAAGCGTCTGCGCTGCCAGCTCGCGGCGACGGGGCGTGGCCACAGCATACAGCGCTTGGGATTTTTTTGGGCTTTTGCCGGCGAACTCTGGTGCGGGCGTGTCGCGTACCACGTCGGTGGGTGCGGCGACTGCCAATGGCCCATCGAGGATCTCGATGGCCAAGAGCTTGGGCCGCGTCCAGGAGGTCGCGCCCGTTGCCGTGTTGTAATAGAAGCTCGCGCCACTACTCGGGTCGACGTGCTTTTCGTACATGGAGGCAACGAGCGCTTGCAGCCGACGCCGTGCGAGAAAGGCGCGGACGCGTGCCTGGATCTTCTCAGCGGCGATCCGCTGCCGGCGCGGCGTCTCGAGGCGCAGCCACGCGTCAATGTGCTCGCGGGCCATGGTCGTGCCATTGGCAACGACCTCGAGGTCCCGCTCGTAGAGCACTCGGGGCTTGGTCCACGAGCTCACGCCCGCGACGCGGTCCACGTAGAACGGCTGCAAGGTGGTGGCGTCCATGCACTTTTCGTACCGCAGTGCAATGCGCCGCACGACGTGGCGCCGCGCCTGCTTGCGGCGCATGGCCGCTTGGATGCGAACGACCGCGTCATGGCGCGCCGCGGCCTCGGCTTGCGTCCGGGCGGCGAGCACGAGCAGGCGCGCGCGCTGCAGCAGAAGCTGCCAAAAGCCGTGGCGTGTCCGCCGGTGCCGGACGTAGCGCTGGAGCCGGCGCGCAGCCGCGACGACCGCGTGGGGATTCTCAAACTGAAAGTGAAAGTCAAATGGCGATTGAAACTGCGTGGCGAACGCCACCACTTCGAGCCGGGCTTTGCGCGCCTTGTCGGCGCGGTCGAGACGAAAGTAGAGCGTACAGCCAAAGATTTGATGGACGCGCGCCGTGTAGCGGTAGTGGAGGTACCCGCGGTAGATGCGAATCGAAGTGCGGTGCTGCTGGACGCGGCGGGCGTGGGCGTGTCGCCACCAGCGCTGAACCCGCCGCGCGTCGGCGTCGCGCGACGCCCAGAGCTGCGTCTCGGCTGCTCGCTGCGCACCAATGGTCTTTTGCACGACAGACAAGTTGTCTTCGTTGGCGGCGAGTGCTGCGAGGTCCCGTCGGACGCGCGCGAGGCTGGCACTGTGCTCGTGCACCTTGCGTTCGAGCTCGCGCTTGGTCCGGCACGCAAACCGGAAGGTCTCGTCGTTCTTGAACGCATGGGCTTGGGCTTGGGCCGCCATGTGCGCAATGATCTTGGTGTCCGCCGCAATCTCTGCAACAAGAAGCGCTTCGGTCGCGCGGTATTCGGCCTGGGCTTTGGCAAAGCAGGTGCCCCACAAGAGCGGTGGCGCCGTCGACGGGCCTTCTGGGGGCCTTGTCTTGGTTGGTGTTGCCGTCACTTTGGCTGCTAGTGCCCTCACTTTGACGCACGTTTCTTGGTTCGTCGGTGGCTCTGGTGCGGGCTTGGCGTGCACGAGGCGCGGCAGTGTCGCTGTCGCGCCCCAGAACCAGCCAGTCTCGGCCGTTGGTACCTCGGGTGCGGTCGGCGTGGCGCGCTTCTTCTTAGACGTTTTGGACTTGGCTTTTCGCACCACAAGCCTGGCGCCGCACTGGTCGCAGAACTTGAAGGTCGGCGGACACGCGGCGCGGCATGTCCGACACGCGACGATTGCCTCGGCCGGCATCCGCCCACGAAACGTGGGTAACCGCTGCGCCTATTCCCGACTTTCTCATTTGAGCGACAATGGACGCGCTGGGTCGCATGTATGTGACGGTGACGGTGGCGCCAGGCCGCCTCGGGCTCTCGCTTCTCGAAGGCGATAGCACCGCCGGCGTCTTTGTCGGCGCGTACGATGCTACGCCGGGCACGATGCAAGCGCATTGCGGCCGTGTGCACCCCGGCGACCGCCTCGTGCAGCTCAACGACCTCGACCTCTTGTTCTTAACGCGCCTCGAGGTACGCGCCATCTTGTGCGAGGCCGGCACGATCTGATCCTGGGACGTAGGTGATCGAGGTCCTTGGGCAGACGGCCAACGCGCCGCGAGAGCTCACTTTTTTACGGGCACCGTCAACCCCAAGTCGGTGGGACATTGCCAAGAAGCTGCTCTTGACGGCGCCTCCGGGGCCATTGGGGCTGACACTGCACCCCGACATTCCGCATTGGGCTGTCGTCGAGGCAGCAACCGCGTCCTGGAGCGCGACAGCCCATCGTGGCTGTCGCATACTACGTATCAACGGCGTCGATGTGTCGACGATGGACCGGGACGCTGTCGTCAGCCACCTTGCCCTTGTCTTTGACGTCCCCAAGACGATCGAGCTGTACCGCCTCGCGCCGCGCACCTGCACGCGCCTGCTCTACGTGACTGGCCCAGTTGCATTCGCGGCGCCGACGTCCATGCGTCTCACAGCAACTACGTCGGCACCGAACGCCGTCGTCATTGCCGTCGGTACCACCGACCTCACAGCGCTGGCACCAGCAGCTGCCCACGAGCTCGTCCGCACCGCCGGCGCCGCGAGCCGCCTCCTGTGCTACACCACTTCGTCGACAGCCCCGGCCGCAACGTCGTCCGACAGCGCGATCACGGTCACGATCCTCGACTCGTCGCTGGGCCTCAATCTGGACAGCTCCGAGGTCGCGTTTGTCAAAGTGACGGAGTTTACAACGTCGGCGGACGCCGACCGTCCGTACTACGCCCCGTACAAGCACCGCCTCCTTGGTGCGTGCGTGGCAAGTGTAAACGGTGTGGACGTGAGCTTTGCGACTCGGGATCGCGTCGTGCGGCTCTTGAGCCAGCTCCCGCACGTCCCGCGCGTCGTAACCTTTGTCACGGAATCCGAGATCCGCCGTCGGCGCGCAGAGGGCCCAACGCATGTTGTGCACGTCCCCGCGGGACCACTGGGCATCGACTTTGACGGCAACAAGCCGTCGCACACGGTCGTCGCGGGGTTCCGGGCGCTTCCAAATGGCGAACGAGGCGTCTTGGAGCGTAGCGGCCTCGTGCGCGCTGGCAGCATCCTCATATGCATCAACGGCTTCAACATCTCGTGCCTTGCACTCCACGCGACGATCGAGCTCTTTCAAAAGCTTGCGCACACGCCCAAAGACCTCACGTTCACGACACTGGCGCATCGCCCGACACTGGACGTGTACGTGCCAGCTGGACCTCTCGGACTCACGTTTGCTGCGCACCGGCCCGAATGCGCGATGCTCGAGACGATTGCGTCAACCTCGGCCATCCAGATGCACGGTGCTGTTGCGCCCCAGAGCGTCCTCGTTGGTGTCGATGGCTTTGATTTGAGCTCCCTTGCACTCGCCCAGGTGGCCGACCTTCTCAAGGGTCTCTCGGCGCAGGCCAAGGTGCTTTCGTTCACGCCGCCGACGATCAACTCCACCGTCCCGCGCAAAGCCGCCATCGATGTCGTTGTCGGTCCCGGCGGCGCAGGTGTGCGCTTCGACCCTACTGTACCGAGTGCGGCGGTCGTCACGGGCTTTGTGTGTGGCAGCAGCGTGGAAGCCGCCGGTGGCGTGTCGTTGGGGAGTCGCCTCGAGTGGGTCGATGCGTTGGACGTGCGCTCCAAGCCCGTAGCCGACATTGAAGCGCTGTTGACCGCCCTAGAGCCAAGTACAAAGACTCTGTCGTTTGCACCAATGCCGGCGGCGACAGTGCCGGTGACAACACCAGCGTCGCCAACGCCCGAGCTCGTCTCGCCGTTTCCATTCGTGCACCGGGATTCGGTGCAGTCGACGATGACGAGACTCCAAGAGAAGCTGTGTTTGACCGACGACCAGGTGTCGGCGTTGCAGCGCCGACTGAGCTCGTCGTCCGACGGCCCGCCCTCGCCACTCTCGCGCCGACCGAGCGCGGTATGCTAGCCTTTTGCCTGCATACACATTCGAGTCGTTAATGTTGCGCTATGCGTAGGCCGACACAGCACCGCCCCTGCCTCGGGTATGACTCGTCAAGTGCTTGATTTGATGATGTAAATGTGTAGAAGCTGTCGCGTGCGGCGTCGACGACGGCCCCGGACGAGGTTCAGGGTGCGGACCTTGTTGTTCCGTTGGTCGACTTTAAGCGAGCGTACCACGTCCAAAAGGTAGAGCAACAGTGATTTATCCAGCGCATAGCGTCATCTCTAGGTGGTGGGGGGCTGGTTTGGGAAACTCAAACCGCGCCATTTTGAGTTTGATTCGGACCAAAAGTACCTCGTGAGCTACGACAACAGCAGCAAGGAGCGCACGTGCAAGCACATTCCGATGGCTTCGATCGCGTCCGTGACCAAAGGCAAGCCGAGTGCGCCGAAGAAGGGCGCCGAGACTGCGTCGGACGACCACTGCTTGAGCGTCGTCATTTGCAAGCGCACGGTCGACTACATCTGCGCGACGGTCGACGATCGTGATACGTTTGCCGGGTCGCTGGAGACGCTCATTCGCGCCCGGAAGCTTTAGCTCCCTCCCGAGAAGCGTCCGAACGCCCTCTTGGGGTATTGACATTGCACCAAGATCTTATCGCATGACTCGTGGCAGCACGAGCGCCCGCCGTTGGTCTCGAGCATCCGATATTCACGCTCCGCACAAGTGCGCCTTGTATTTTTTTGTGTTTCTAGAAAATGACATTTGTATTTTGTATGGAAAGCACGATGTCGAACAATAGGACAGGGCGCACTTTGAAGGAGAGTCCAGTGCTCCGCAAAGTACGCTTTCAGAACATACCAATAGCCAATGGTGCGGTAGCGTCCCGTTTAAGTGCGAACCTCTGAAAACGCATACGTTTTGTTGGATAGAAACCCGTGAAAACGATTCGGGTTTGTAAGGCGCTGGCACTTCCAAGATCACGCGCGAGCAAGCGAGATGACGTCGAGGAAGAGGCGCATCCCGCTGTCCAAGCCACCGCAGAGCCGGCTCTTCGAAGCAGACTACGACTGCTGGGTCAACGTGGTACGTGCATGGGCGATCTGGCGAGGAAGACCGATCCGCGATCTTATGGGGCCGTTCTGACCGTAGGTTCGCTTGCGACAATGGGTCTCGTCCGTGGACGAGTTCCAGGTACATGCGATGGGCAGCATGCCATGGAAGCTCACTGTCGTAACATGTAGCAACCCTGCCACCAGACGCCCACGCTGCTGCTTGTCTTGTCGCCGATCTCGATCATCCTCAAGGTCGAGCCCATCGTCCATATGGGCCCCGTGACAGCCGCTGATTTCGAAGTCCTGCAAACGTCGTTGCCGCCCAACTCGCGCGTCTTTTGCCCGCTCAAGTACGAAGCGATGCTACGCGACGGCCTTGGCGCGGCCGCCGGTAGCTTGAATCTCACCATCATGGGTCGCCATGAGAGCGAGATCCCGCATGCGTTTGCCGAGATTGCTGAGCAGTTTGCGAGCAACATTCCGTCGCGGTGCGCGCTCTGCGATGGCACGTTGCTCAACAAGCCGTACCCGGGCCAAGAAGCGCGCCCGTGCGTCTGTGCCGGCATGGAGGCGATTCCGTCCATGACCGACTCGATCATCCGGTCGCTCTTTGAGACGAGCGCGCGCTTCTGGCAGGCGCAACCGTGGCTGCACATGCGCATCAACCACGTCGTGCGCGTCGAGATGCATGGGTCGCCGTTCCGGTTCGTCCAGATCCTCGGTGGCACGGGCTGCTGCGACGTGGCGCTCATGGTGCACAAGGATTGGCACGAAGTCCAGAACGAAAACTGGTCGGTCTCGACCATGCGCTGCAACTCGGAAGGCTTCTACTCGGTCGTCAAAGCCGAGTTCCAGCCGCCTGGTCAAGGCTGTCGCTCGTGGAAGGACCTCGACTACATCGAAGCGCAGACACGCCTCGGCACGCCGCTCATGCTTCCGGACCCCAACAATCCGGACCCGGTCACGCAACCCGTGCTCCCGCTCTTCACGCGCATCTCGATCAAGCGCAAGTCGGGCAGCGACATTGACGTCCGCCAGGTGGCCGCGACGATGGAAGAGATCGTGTACCTTCAGGTCGCCATGTCGGTCATCATGACGCTCCTCGACGACGACATCTTGACGGCCGTGCCCAACTCGCCGGTCGGCGACTACCGCAAGTTTTACGCGTTCGACACGACGCTGCCCGTGACGCCGGCCATGGTAGCGTACAACAAGCTGCCCAGCGACAAGCGGCGCGTGCACGTGCAGTACCCCGCGCTGGACGACCCGTCGCGCATGAGCCATCTGCAGGTCATTGGTGTCGAGATGCGCCCCAAGCCCGTCGACGACGAGTCGGTGCCGGACGCGACGTTGTCGTCGTCGTCGGCCAAGAAGAAGAAGAAGAAGAAGAAGGGCAAGGGCAAGGGTGACAGTGGTGGCAACGACGACATGGATGTGACGGCGCTCGCCCGCATGCGCGAGATCATGACGCAAAAGGCGGCCGCCAACAGCTTTTACCAAAAGGGTCTCTACAAGGAGGCGTACGCGCAGTACACATCGGCGATCGCTGAGTTTCAAGTGTTCAAGGCCAAGCTCGAGATGCACCACCAAAAGGACCCGCAGATGGTGCTCAACGGCGACAACCTCTACAGCAACCGTGCGCAAGCCGCGCTGCGCCTCGAGTGGTACGCCAAGGTCGTTGACGACTGCAGCCATGTCATTCCGTTCATCGTGTCGCACTGCGCCAACATTTACGTCATCCGGTGCCTTCACGCCCGCGCCCGCGCATACGCAGCGTTGCACCAGTACGATGACGCCTTTGACGACTGGCACGTGCTCGCGATCGAGTCCCAGAAGGGCAACAAGGACGTGCCGCCCGCGGGGTACCTGGCCGAGCAAGGCCAGCGCATCCAGTCCAAGCTCAACGCGTGCAGCATCCCCGCCGCGTGGCGCGTGCTGCCTGGCACGGGCAAGAAGATCAACCGGTTCTTCCACAGCGCGGCGCTGCATCCAGACGCGACGTCGCTCCTCATCTTTGGCGGCCGGTCGACCACCATGTTTGGTACGGAAGACGATGACGTGGCGATCCACCAGTACATCTTTGAGACGAAAAAGTGGGTCACGGTGCCGGGCGCGGGCCAAAAGCCGCCGTGTCTCGCCGGCCACAGCGCGGTTGTCTTCAACCGCGACATGTACGTCTATGGCGGGTGCCCGCTCCACGAAGACGACCAGACGGGCGGCGCTCTCTACGCCTACAACGTCGACACGCACGTGTGGAAGCGGGTGCGGGCGCCGAACGAGCCGACGTCGGTGCGCAACGAGCACGTTGCGGTGCTGCACGGGTCGCGGATGCTTGTGTTTGGCGGCGCCCAAGACGACTCGCGCGACAACCCGTTTGATGTGTTTGACTTTGCGACGCAGCGCTGGTCGGCCATGCCGCAGGAAGCGAAAACGAAAGCCCCGAGCTCGCTCCTCACGCTGCACCTCGGCTGGGTCCACGACGACACGCTCTATATCTTTGGCGGCAAGGCTGACACGAGCGACTTTTACGAGTACCGGTCCAAGCTCTATGCGTTCGACCTCGTCCACAACACGTGGCTCGACGAGCGGCCCATCGCCAAGAATGGCATTTTGCCGCTGCACCCGGGCGCCCGCAGCGAGAGCCAAGCTGTGTGCTACAACGGGCACATGTACCAGTTTGGCGGGTACGCCGAGCTTGCGGTCGGCTCCAAGTACCACGCGGACGGCTACCGGCTCGTGCATCACGCCGACAAGTCGGTCTCGTGGTCCAAGATGCAAACGCCCAAGGACACCAAGTCGCCGTGGCCGAGCGCGCGGGCCGGGTGCACCTTGACGTTGGATCCGACCCGCCACCGCGCGCTGCTCTTTGGCGGCTACGAGACCATGCAGCACGACATTGTCTATGGCGACGTGTGGGAACTCAAGCTCGACGCCCCGCCGGTTGCGACACCCGCCGTCGTTACGACACCCGCCGTCGTTGCAACGCCCGCCGTCGTCCCGCCCGCCCCCGTGGTGGTGGCGCCGGCCCCTGCCACCGCCCCCAAGACATCCAAGGCCGCGCCCGCCCCGACCACGCTCGTGTGCGCCAGCTGTGGTCGCGAGGGCAAGTGGAAGAAGTGCGCGCGCTGCAACGACACGGCGTACTGCACGCAAGCCTGCCAGAAGAAGGACTGGCCGACGCACAAGGTCACGTGTCGTCGCGTCTAAGACGACACCATGCATATCCGCCGCCGCCACCGAAACGCCGCATCCTCATACATGCCGCTTGCATACTTTTCACGCTTCATATCTCGACCTCTCGTAACGCCACGTGTACGAATACGATCTTATGTGCACGTTCTTCGATTTTTCTGGAAAATTTTCGAACAAATCCAACGAAAATGCGGATCGTCGTCGTCGTCGTCGTCGTCGCAATCGGTCGCGCCATCGGCATGCGCGTCCATCGGACGTGGACGACGCAGCCGTGGTGCGACAGCGTCGCCGCCCCTCGATGGCCCTTCGCGTACCAAAAGACGCGATCCCAGACGCTCGAGTTTGCCGGTCGCGTCAACTCGAACGCGCAGGATCTGCGCCATGCGTGCTCGACCTTTGGCGTCCAGAGCAAGTGCCACCTCTGCTCCAACGACCGCATGCAGCTCCAAGGCGTCAGCTGGGCGGCGCTGCCGGCGAACATCCCGACGGTCACGGACGTGCCGTGGGCCATCGGCGGGCGGCATCGGTACGACTATGGCGGCGCCACCCGCATCTGCGTGCTCTTGTCCGGCGACAGCTGCCTCTCGCCGTTCGGAGTCGACTATGCCAACTGCTCGGTGCGCTGCTGGGGCGCCGGGCCCGTGACGCGCGTGGCCGATTGGGACAATGTGTCTGAGTTGTGGAGCTTTGCTACGACGGCGTCGGCGCAAGGTCGCGTCTTTAGCCTCGCGGGCGTCGGCACGCCGGGCTTTCAGGTGCGCGTGGCGTCGTGCGACTACGTGCAAGCTCCTTGTAGGATGGGCCTGCGGCGACTGCGCAGTTTGCCTACCCCCGCGGCCTCGCGGTCGACGCAGCCAACAACGTGTACGTCGCCGACACCAACAACCACCGCATTCGCAAGGTACAGCCTCCTCACTTTGCACCACTTTGCACCACTTTGCACCACTTTACCACTTTGCACAATATTAGATTGCCGCCGGGACGCAAGTCGTATCGACGGTCGCCGGCGCCGGCGTTGAAGGCTTTGCCGACGGCCCGGCGTTGAGCGCGACGTTCTCGTTTCCGTCGGGCGTCGCCGTCTTGGAGACAGGGAGCAGCACGCTACTGTACATCGCCGACACGGGCAACCACCGCATCCGCCTCGTCAATCTCGCGACCAATCTCGTGAGCTGCGTCGCCGGGCGGTGTCTCGGCGGCACTGAAACTGCGACGCTGGCGACGGCCGCCGCGCCGCCACAACCCGGTCTCGCAGACGGCTCGCCCGGCAACGCGTCGTTCAACACACCCATGGGCGTCGCCGTGGCGTCGTCCGGCATCGTGTTTGTCGCGGACACGGGCAACCACATCATTCGGGCCATCAGGTGCACCGTATCAGACACTAGTGGAGGTACTGACAGCGGATGCATCTAGTGTCGACGGCACGACGACGACGCTCGCTGGCAACGTGTTGGCGCAGACGACGCCGATCCTCGGGTGTCCGCCGCCATGCGTCCGCGGCGTCGCCGGCTTTCGCGACGGCAACGCCACGTACGCGCAGTTTAACCACCCGACCGGCATTGCGATGGGTCCGATGAACACGGTGTTGGTTGCGGACGACCACCGCGTGCGCCGTGTTGCGTATGACGTCAGTGACGTCACGGGTGTCGCCGGTGACAAGCGCGTCGTGACGGTCGCGGGCGCAGGCCCGTTTGCCTACGGCGAGACGGACGGGGACAGCAACGAGGCGTCGTTTCACGTCTCGGGCGTCGCCATGAGTCCAGTGGACCAGCGGGTGTTTGCTGTCAGCTCCATCTCCAACCACGTACGCATGCTGTCGCAAGCCGCGTCCGTCGTACGTCACATCTGCGTCCTGCTGCGCATCATACAGTGCACCCGTAGGCCCGCAGCGTCGAGTGCTCGACGCGTGCGAGGGACGTGCTGAGTCCGTCGGGCTGTGCGTCGTACGAGCCGCCGACCGACGCGCTCCACTACAAGGTCTCCCCGGCCATGAGTATGCTCGACGCAGCAGAAGGAGTCGTCTGACAATGGATAGACAATATCTTCTACAATGCGGTGAACCGAAGCGTCTTTAGCGTCAAAGCCGGCTTGAACATCCTCGGGCGCACCGTGCAAGCGTGCGTCGGGTCGCCGCCCATCGATGCGCTCACGACCGGGTACGCACAACTTATGTAGACACATGGTCTCTAGTAACATACATATTGTCTAGCGATCTCTGCACCAAACTGTATGACGCGGCCGGGGCGCCCATCACGGCGATCGGCCAAGACGTTGACTTTGGCAGCACGATCCAAGTGGCGTGCCCCGCCAATTGCAATAGTCCAACACCGGTCTACGGCTCGCAGCGCTACACCGACGCGTCGTCCATTTGCTATGCTGCGATCCACGCCGGCGTCATCAATGGCGCTACTGGCGGACTCGTCACGCTGACACTGCAGCCAAACACGCTCTTTGCCAACGCTTTGTACCGCACGGGGTCCTCGGCCAACGACGTCACGTCCCAAACCGTCGACCGCGACCAGCTTGGCGCGCGCTTCTTCTCCATTGCTGTGACTCCCGTGACCCATGTCAGCGTCCAAGTACGTCCGTTCGTCGCTGTCTTCAAACGACTCTGAGACGTATGCAACGTAGACCGTGGCCGGCCACCCAAAAGCCCTGCTCGAGTTCGCCGCCGGCTTTCGCGACGGCCAGCCTCCGTTGGCCGCGTTCTTTAACGGTCCAAGCGGCGTGGCCGTCGTTGCGCCGCCGTCTGCGACCAGCTATCTGTATGTTGCCGATACGCTCAACCACCGCATTCGCGCTCTCTCGGCCATCTGCTCCAAGGTCTGTGAGAACGGCGGCGTGTGCTCGGCCATGGATGTCTGTACTTGCGCCGCCGGGTGGACCGGTGACGACTGCACGACGGCCCTCTGTGCGCAGCCGTGCGGCGCACGCGAGCTCTGCGTCGGGCCGAATCAATGCGCGTGCGTCCCCGGCTACACGGGCGCTGCTTGCACGACGCCGCTGTGCGTACAGTCGTGTGCCAACGGCGGGAGCTGCAGCGCACCCGACACGTGTGCGTGCGCCAATGGCTGGTTTGACGCCAACTGCACGACGCCCGTGTGCGTGCAGACTTGCGGCAACGGCGGCAACTGCACTGCACCCAGCACGTGCAGCTGTCCGTCGCCGTGGCAAGGCACCGACTGCCGGACACCGGTATGTACGCAAAGCTGCTTGAACGGGGGCACGTGCGTCGCGCCCAATACGTGCCTCTGTCCTGTCGGCTGGAGTGGCCACGACTGCAGTCTCCCGGTTTGCGACCAAGGAAGCTTTGTGCCGCACCCCAACGCGTACTTGGGCGGTCTCTTCCGTCCGTTCAACTGGACCATGTACGTGCCCTGCAGCTTTGAAGCGTGGTGCGCTGCGACCAACGGCTTTGACTGTGCCCAGCGACCAACGTCCGTCGTATCCAACTGCAGCTTGCTCGAGCTGCGGGCGAATGCGCTGAGTCCGTTCACGTACTTGCAAGAGCACAGTCGGAGTACGCTCTACCAGCGCTACTCGCCGCGCACACCGTACGGCCAAGACACGCTCAACCTCTCGTATCCGGGTGCCCCCGTCCTGAGTCCCGGCTCGCTGACGACACCACCGTACACGGCCAGCGTCGACCGACAACTCGCACAAGTCGAGCTCCGCGTCGTCGTCCAAGGTGTTTACGTCTGTGCCAACAACGGCAACTGCTCCGCGCCCGGCATCTGCGTCTGCGCACCGGGCTGGGCGGGGTTTGACTGCCGCGTGCCCGTCTGCCGACAAGGTACTTTGCTTACATGCTTGTCGCTCTCGCCAGAATACACACTTAGGGTACTATACACCGGCGCAACCGACACTGGTGGCGGCCGACCCGGTTGCCAGCGCAGCTTCCGGGCACCCATCGTCGAATGGCAACCCGACGTATGTGCAAACAACGGAGGTACTGTCGTGGGACCAGTACACGGCAACGACAGCCACGGTCGGGGGCGTCGGCTTCTTGACCAGCGGCGGTCGGCAAGGCGGGTACGCGTGCTCGATCCGGAGCCTGACGCAATTCGAGAAGCCATCGACGCCGACGTCGCGGGCGTACTACTGGGACTTCCCCAACTACTACTCGCTCTACATGGACTCCCGCATGTACTGGCCGCCTTTGTACGAAAAGTCGGCGCCAGTGTGGGACAACACGCAGATGGGGTACACCCGCAACGGTATTTGGCGCTATCTGTCGCCGACCCAGTGGCAAAAAGGCACATGCCTCGTCCAGTTCCAGCGCAGTTGCGACGCGGCGACCGTGTCGGTGGACCCGGACGCAAGCTACCGCCCGATACTGCAGTACACTGCAATCAAAGCGTCGCGCACCATCACGAGCTATGCAAACGATTGCGTCGACCGAGTGCTTCGCGGCTGCTACAACAATGGGACGTGCGTGGCCCCCGACACGTGCGTCTGTGCAGCTGGCTGGACGGGCACCGACTGCTCGGTGCCGATCTGCGTGCCTGCCTGCGTCCACGGCACGTGCACCAACCCCAACCGGTGTGTGTGCGACTTGGGCTGGACCGGCGCCAGTTGCAACGTGGCCATTTGCGCCCAAGACTGCCGCAACAATGGGCTCTGTGTGGCGCCGGTACACGCGTCGATATTATTATCAACTTGATAGTTCTCCACGGCGTAGGACACGTGCGCGTGTGTGACGTGGCCGTCGGGCTGGCGCGACGGCCGCCAGAACGGCGGACTTCCGATCTTTGCGCTGCCGAGTGGGTCCCCGCAACGCACGGGGTGCGTGTTTGCTAGGTGTACGGTTGACATGTCGTCGTTCTGGACGGGCGTAGGTGGACTGGTTACGACTGCAACACGCCCATCTGCACACAGGCCGAAGCGTTCGTCTTGAACGTCGCGCGGTCGGACGCAAACTTTGTCGCGTTGCGAGGTGCTCGATCGTCGCGGGCGCATTTGCTGAACCTATCGCTAGGGAGCCTTGGCAAGGTCAACTGCACGCGCGTGCGGTGTCCGCAGTACGACGTCGAGGTGACTTCGAACGACGGCACGTCGTTTCAGTCGGGCTGCCCCGGTATTCCGTATGTCAACCCTACGTTTGGCGGAGACAATGCGCTCCGGCAGCGCAACTGGGACGCGTACAACGACGTGCTCAACAACGGCCGGCAGTCGGCGTCGTCGCTCTGCCGCGTCATGGCATGGCAGCAAGGCGAGTTCTCCAACCGCCAAGTGCGCATCAACCACGCAACGAGCGGGCAAGGCGAAGGCGTGTACGAGTGCTTCCACCGCGGCTCGTGCATCGCGCCCGACACGTGCAGCTGCGGTGACGGCTACAGCGGCTTTGACTGCCAAACGCCGCTCTGCCGGTTTCCGACGCCGTCCGGGGCCGTCACTTCGTGCCAGCACAGCGGCGTGTGCGTCGGGAAGGACACGTGCCAGTGCATCCAGTCGCCGTCGATTCTGCATCAAAAGTACTCGGCCGCACCCCGGGGCATGACGGGCTGGGCCGGCTCGAGCTGCTCCATGGGTACAAGACGACCGAAAGCGTAGGCGATGACTTGATCGTACATCGTAGCCATATGTGTGCAAGGCTTCTTCGACGCCAACTGCTTCGATCAAGACCCCGTCGGCCGCGAGGGGTGCTACCGCTGCGCCAACGGCGGCCAGTGCGTCGCGCCCGATCTCTGCGCCTGCGCCGAAGGCTGGACGGGCTACGACTGCAAGACGCCAGTGTGCAAGGTCCAGGTGACACCGGCGATCCGTAAGCAGCTCTTTACGCTCGATGAAAACAAGGTACAATGGAGATTCTTGTCGACTCGGACCATGCTGTGCATAGGTCTACGCGTTTGAGAACGACCCGTGTGGCATGAAGGGCGGCCGGTGGGGTCAGGAGATGTACAACGGTGCGCTCCTGGGCCAAGGCAACTGCACGCTGCCGCAGCGCTGCACGTGCCTCTGCAAACTGCGGTACGACGAGCCGACGTGTACAAAGACTGGCGAGCTCTGCACCAAGCCGTGGTCCGACCCGTTCAGCCGAGCGATTCCATCCGGGTATCTCTTTGGGACAAGAAAGTGTGCGAGTGGGTTCGAGGGCCTTGAAGACGACCACCATCGCTTCGTGAGCTGCCACCTTCAGATTTACGAGCCGACGACGTGGGAGCGCTACACCGGCTCCTTTGTGGCGCTCATCACGCTGGCGATCCTCATTGGCTGGTCCGCTTTCTATTGCTTTCGGAAGCGCGTCAAGGACTTCCAACGCAAGCTCAAGGCCGAGCGCCGCAAGTCCCGACGCGACAGCCAAGACAAGCCACTCAAGGCCGACTTTGCGTTTGGCTATGGACAATCCTAAGGTCGTTGAATATAATACGCTCAACGTACGAGTCTCGTACTATCATCACTGGCTCGCAGGGGTAGGGTAGAACAGCCACAAACGGTTGCATCTTGCATTACGGTAGCTCGAGCATGCAGTGTACGCCTCACTCGACGGCGAGGAAGGCTGGGACAAGACGCTGAGGTAGAGTTTGCTTAGCAAAGTCAACCTCAGCGTCTTGTCCCAGGAGTTGGCGGTGGCCAAGCGTTTCGATCATTATCAATAGTCAGTCGGCTCTAGAATTGGACGGAGCTCGCCCGCCCATCACACACCGAGCATGGCTACCCATCGCTACATGTCGAAGCGCAGCGCTTCTGCTAGTCACAGTCGCCCTGCAGCGCAAGTGTTCCCGGTGGCCCGTGTCTCGACGTCAGCTGCCAGTTGCCACCGCAGCGCGCTAGCTACGAGCAACGACTCTTCCGTCCCGATCTCGGCGAGCGGACCAACCAGCAGTGAAGACGACATTGACCGCCGTCACCTTGGCGTCGGAGATGTGACGGTCTCTCGAGCCGCTCTACGCATTGCGCTTACCACAGCATTGCGGGACCACGCGGCTCTGGTATCACAAGCGGATATCGATGCAGTGGTCGTCGATGGTCAGTCTGATCCCGAGCACACGTATCCCCCAAGCTCGTGACCAAGAGATCGTTGGTGCAGCCAGCTCGGTGCCATCCGAGTCCAGTGGTCCACCCGTGCTGCCCGGGCACGGTCCGGACGCAAAGTTTGTTCAGCTACACTACACTACGACGATGAAGGAAGCGCAACATTGGGTCAAGCAACGGCAACGCGAGCTGGGAATCTCATTGACCGTCATCTACCCGCTCAACAACCTTGGTGGCGGCAAGGTCTACGGCTGCAAGACGCCGTCGCACCACCGATGCGGCAAGTGCAAGTACGAGTTGCGCATCGTTGCCAAGGTCGTCCGAAAGCAATGCGTCGGGTTCCGCGTGGATGAGCGCCATCGCCACAACGCTGCCTCCTCGGACGATTCCGACGACGCGCCGAGCGCAAAGAAAAGCCGCACGTCGCATGCTGAATCCGTCGACGTCAGCGGCATTGAGCCCACGCTACGGGACCGTGTCGACGCTCTGGCGATGACCAAGGCAGGACCCAAGGTCATTCTCGAGCGCCTTTGCCTCGACTATGCCCATGATCTGTACATGATGAGAAACATGCCGTCGGCAGGACAAGTCAAGAGCCGCGTGGCGTACGTCCGCAACAAAGGCACCCAGCCCCCCAGTCGTAGTCCAGTAGGTGGTAGCGACTCAGCCGACAACTCCGTGTTCTATGTTTCGGGTGGCGTGTTGTATCCGACATCATGTTTGGGCTCTAACTCCGACGAGCTTCTCGACGTGGGGGATTCCGCCTGCTCGTACGGCAAGGGCATGCACGATCATTTGAGTTGCACTAGCATGCCATTGACGATCCCAGCGAGCTCACCTTGAGGACACGAGGCGTGCCTTTCTGTGCACAAGGAAGAGCGCAAAGTGCGGTGCACGGGCGAAGATGCGGACGACTACCGCCAACGAGTAAATCGCACTGCAGCTGCAAGCGGCAAAGATGCGGGCGGCAGTACTTGACGGCGCGCCGATGGCCGCTCTAGAGTCGGATCATAGGGCCCACACTCGAACGAGCAACTTGGAACACGCAGGACGCAACGCTGAGAAGCACCGCGAGCCTCGTCGAAGCTGTGATTGCCTGGCTGATGCAAACGGCCTGGGAGCACAACGCACAGCTCCTCCTCGCATGAACTACACGTCCGCAGATTGACGCTCTTTCGATGACGCCGAATTCGTACTCGACTTCCATAGCAGGCTCTTTGACAACTTACAGCTGCCAGACGTGCTCGCGATGCAAAATGGCGCGACGACCTCTTCTGCTCCGTTCAAGCGTCTAGCATATTGCGTTGGTGTCCATCCGTGTCGTCGTCACCAGCCATGCTTTGGGCTGTCTCGTTCCTTCGACCCGCACTTTCGCCTTGCTGATGCACAGCTCCCAGTTGCTTGGCCACGGCGCCGAAGTGCGTTGCCATCGCCTCCAAATGCGCTGACAGCATCTCGATCTGCTTGGTTTGGGTCGTCGCCGTCTCTCGAAGCGTCACGAGCTCGGACTGTACCAACCTCATGTGATCCGTCATCACGCCGATCTGGTTGGTGTGGCTGGTTGATATCGTCTGGAGTACCTCGAGCTTCGACTGCAATGGAGGCATCGCCCGCCACTTCTCTTCGCCGGGGTTGTCGGACCACCCATCGATTCGATCGAGCTCAGACAAAATGGCGTCCTTCATGTTTGTGAGTGCTGCGTCCACGCTCACGTGGTGACTGAGCAGGAAGAGGTGGGCGCACATGTCGTGTTCGTCCAAATCCTTGGTGGCGTCCACGCGTCGCCACAGAGATGCGATCTGCGCCGTGCACAGCCGGAGCTGCTTGGTCATGACCTTGTTGAGCTTGGGCAAGATCTGGTCTCTAAAGTGGCTACGGCTGTAGCGCGCCGTCCTGATGGCCTTTGTAATCTGAGCGCGCGTATCTTGAAGGACCCGTAATTCTCGGTCAAAGACAGTCGCCACGTCCAACTCGGTAAAACGACTAACGTGGCACACTCCCTGAAGAAACTCGTACATGGAGTAAGCGACCATGGTGTCCAGCCCGTCCAGTTGAGTCCGCCACAGCACTCGGCGGCGGGTCACTTCCACGAGAGCGTCGACTTGGTTGGGCGCAATGCTCAGCTCTGCCGTGGGCACGCGTTCCGTGAATATCGGGTGCAAGACAAGCTTGCCATCCGCGTCAGTAACGTGGGTGAGCTCGGTCGTTGCGGCCTCGTTGAGGTTCATAGCGCCTTCGAGCCGCAGAATGCTCTGAGCGTAGCTAATGAGCGCTTGTGTCTTGGCGTTGGCGAGGCTGCCTTCGACCGTCTGGTTCATCATGGCAAGAAGCACGTTGAGAAGGACGACGACCATGATGGCCGAGTGCGTCATCATGAGGAGCGCTGCGCCCATGTACAGGACGTCGTACATCTCTGCCGTGTTGGCAAACGCATCGAGCGAGCTCAGTGGCACTTGGCCAAACGCGACAAAGTACGTCGAGAGGAACGACTGACCAATCGAGCGAAAGGCGGCGTCCGAGTTGAGTACGAAAAGCTGGTAGAAGACAAGCGTCAAGCCCATTTGGAAAATGCCAAAAATGAGAAAGAAATTCCAAATGTCGCCAAAGAGGTGTGCCATCATGGGAAGGAGGTAGCTCGCGGACGAGACGACCTCCAAAAACTGCAGCGAAAGGACCCAGAGCACCAAGGTGAGAAGCGCACCGACCCCAACTTGGGCTTGCATCGAGGCGGGTAGCCAGCGTAGCTTCATTGGCACAAAGAAACCGAGGATGACGGCGTAGCAGACCGCCTGGACGACGTTAATTGGCGATGCCAAGTACTTGCGCGCACCGACGGCCTTGATTTCGTGCACTTCGTGGATGATAAAGTACATGGTCGTCGCTCCGAGCACGGCGTTGTTGAAGGTCGCAAACCACCTTTCGATGGACAACTCGTCCGCAAAGCGGAGGACCAGTGCCGCCAAAGTCACGGTGACGACTACGGTACACCCCGCGAGGCACCACCGCACAAACGCAGCATTGGATTGCGGCTCGCCGGAGAGCTGGAGGAAGACCCGCGGGCGAAGACCTTGCGCAGCGACGTACCCAACGGCACTCAAAAGAACTGTTGTGAGCCCGATGCCATAGCTTGTGGACGACGGCGGCTCGTCACCAAAAAGAATGGACGATATCGTCATCGTCACGAGGAGCAGCAAGTGCAAAAGGAGGCGCTCCACATACATGCGCCGGCCAAAGAGCTCCCACTTGATCTCGAGAAGTCATCGAAAAACGACATGTTCAAGACATGCCTTTTGAGCCAGAAATGACTCGGTTGCGTCCTTGAGATTCACATTGAGAATGGTGTGGAGCGCACTCGTTTGGCTGCGACGACCAAAGATAATGTCGAGCTACCATATTCCTGCTGAGCATCGCCTCATTTTAAATGATAAACCATACATTGGAAAACGTAGCTTCGTGACGACTCATGCTGACGCAGTCGTCCAGGAGCGCCTTTGCGAGCTCGGAGCTGCACCACAGCACCGTATGAAAGGTTTCTTGCTGAAAGGCCGCTTCCGTTGGCACCTCCACCAGGCGCGTCAGCAAGTGGTCGCGATACGCTTGTGACGTGGCGCGCGCAGCGACCTCCTTCTTCAAAACGTCACATATCCTGTCGGCGTACGGCCAGCTCCCGTTCTTTCCATATCCCTTTGAGACGGGCGACGGCAAGAAACATAGTCGCACCGTCATGGGGGGTAAATCTGCAAAGTGCTCGAGGAGGATTTGGACGACGCGGAGTTTGTTTCGATGGGCTGCGATCTCGAGTGCCGTCTTGCTATCCTACGCAAGCCTTGAGGTCGCCGCATCCTTTCAAGACAGGTACATTGGCCGTGAGATTGACGTCGGCGCCTTTTTGAAGCATGCACTTGGTGAGCCCGACACTCTTGGGGCCTTGGAGCGTCACTGCAAGCATAAGCGCCGTCTCACCCCGCTACATACAGCATCATTCGTATTGCATTGGGGAGGCGCGGTTTGCACCTTGGTTTTTGCATCGACATCCACGTCGTCTCGCGCAAAGAGCTCGTCTCACGCCGGCCCCAGCGTTTTTCCCAGTGCGACGTGCAGTGGTGACTTGCCTTCCTAGCATCGATACCTCGGTAACGTCAAAGGACTAATATGATGCAATATGATGCAGTGCAACAACCTCAATGCATTGTCGAGCCTCATCGATACTGTGCAGCTGCACGAGGTAGTAGGCGGGAAAGAGCTGCTCCAGCTCCCAGTTGTCGCAACGAAGACGCTCGCTCGGACTGCCGCGCTCCCGGATTTCGAGCACGCGCGTCTACATTACCAGTGAGTGCGACCGACGCGACCGACGAGTACCGCCGAGTAGGGCTCGGTGAACCCGTGGTGGGCACCATGCTGGAGCAGGAGGCGCACGCACTCGAGCGCACCGTGCTCGTCGGCCAGCATCATCGCAGTCTTGTGGTCCTAGCGTCGCATCAAGAAGGCTATACATCTCTATAGTACTGTAGTTCGAGGACATACTGCGTCGCGCGTCTTGATTTCTACATCGAGAAAAATGTTCTTCAACACTTGTTGCAACACGTCCGGTTTGTGCTTGACACAGCAGTAGTGCAGCACCGTGTAACCCTATCCCGTCACGTTGTACACTGCTGTCTCGAAAGCTCAAGACAACGAACGTTGCTGTCAAAGTCGTGGACGCCGTCACACTTTATATGGGCAACAATGCTTGCCACTTTGGCCCACATGTCGTCGGCAGCGAGCTGCGCCAGATTGGTAGATTGGGCCGACATCGATGCGGTGGCGCCCCGAAACAGCAATCCCGATGCTGTCTACGCCGCCACGAGTCCATCATAGTAATCAGCGTGCAACTCGTACAAAATTGGGCATGAGGCTTGTCGCTCGGGCCACAGCATCGAAGGACTGGACAAGCGCCATGTTGCTGAGGTTGCCAGCCGAGGTGGAGAAGGCGAGATCTTTTTCCGCCAAATACGTCAGCGCATCCCGTCCCGCCTAGACATGCCCACTCAGACAAGTAGTGGAAAGCCGCGTTGCCGTGTCTTTCATGGCCAAGCACTCGCGCGAACAGTACGGTAGAAGCTTTGAAAGGACTTGGTCGGCCACGCTAGAGTGGTCGAGGGCGTCGACAGCGTGCAACACCACGGTCTTGCCGTCCTACGCAAAGCTGAGCAACGAAGGGCGATCCATGTACCTTGTCAACTCGCGAGATCTCTCGCAGGATTCGATCGCTTGCGTTCGCGGGCTCGTGACCCGTCATTTCGGTCAGCCAAGCGTTCAAAGCTGTCACATCGTTGGCCCGGGCTACGCAATGCAGCGGAAACTGTGATCGGAAGGCCGCTTCTTGCGCCAACAGCTCGAGGACAGTCGGGTCGTCTGTCAGGTCTGCTGGCGCCTTGCCCGCCTGGTGGAATTCGTACAGTCACGACGATAGTTTTAGTGGTTTTGCTACCTTGTTGCGTACGTTCAACGCGGCATTGGCCACAAGGAGACGTTCAACCACCTTGATTTTGTCGTCTCCTTGGTCGAGCATTTTCATAGCCACATGCAGTGCCGAGTCACCGCTCTAGTATCCACGCGTCTCAAGCTGCAAGTCGATGCGTACTGTGTACGTTGTTGGTTGCGCGGACACTGGCACCCGCGCTCAAAAGCAAAGCCAGGCCTTGAACGTTGCCGCTCTCGGTCGCAACATGCAACGGCGTGTTCCCGCGCTACAGTGCGCTACTTTGAGATGCGTGAACGAGATGGGACCAACCTGGTCGATGGACGCCACCGAGAGAGACTGCGTCAAGAGCCACGGAAGTATTCGACGGGCGCAGTGTCTGGCGGCGTAGTGGAGGAGCGAACCCCGCGAACGCGTTGGTGGGTCGCACTAGAGACAATAGTCATTTCGGTACGAGGAACAGTGAAAGGTACTGCGTCTGGGATGGATGCCAGCAATGCAGGTGAGTGCGTCGACAGACACTTTAAGATCTCGAGCTGGTCGCGCATGGTGGCGACGATGGCAGGATTCCAAAGGTACTAGCCCGACTCAGAGATCCGATTACGAACCAAACACACCTTTGGCATTGTCTGGAGCTCGGGGCGAGCCAGAATAAGCTCCACAATCTTCGTCTCTCCGATGACAATGGCTGTGCTCAAGACATCGCGCTTCTACACACCCACAGTTTGCCATCCGCCAAACAAGTGCGATGATGCCATAGCAGACCTTGTATTCGTGCTCAAGCTCGTCCACCGAGACCGTAGGCTGCTCAAGGCGTTCGACGACGCGAGGCTTCTTGCCTTCGTGCAGCAACTGCGCCATGGACGTTGTTGCATCGCTCGGGTCGACGGCTCGTGGTTCATCCAGCTCCTCGCTCGACGACGAATCGGAATCGGACGCGTCCGGCTCTGACACGTCTGGTTCCGGTAAGCTCGGAGCAATGACGGGGGGCTGGCGGGACCGACAAAACCAACGGCGCAGAGGGACGCTACGGACCGGCATCCTTCGCACTCGCGACGGTTTTGGCAACGCTTCCTCGAATCTGATGTCGACCGGATTAACGTCCGGACGGATTTTGAGTCTAAGAATATAGACATTCTACAATTCATGACATTCGACAATAGTCCCTCAGAGACGGGGCTAGGTTTTGGTGCCTGTTGTCCGTAAAATAGAAAGGGTTTTGAGCCGTTTCAGTTAGTATCCCCAGCAGGCTGCCTTCTTTTATTTCGACACAGCAACGTGGCGAAGCGTTCACGAGCGGGTGCCGCCTTGGTCGCTTCTGTACGACGGACGACTAAGGCTACGCGCCCCCTCAAGTGCAACAATGGACTGAACAAGCATAGCAAAAGGCTAAACCTCATCAGCAAACATGCACAAATTTGTCCATCCTGCGTGGAGCCTCATCCAAGGCAATTGCAGCTGAGTAAAATGTATCGAGATGCCATGGCGCTTGATGCAATATGGTCGTGACGTGGCATGGCTGTGGTGCTGAGGCCGATAC